TTTTTTTTTTTTTCTTTTTTTACTATATTTAGACTTTCTTTTCTCTTTTGAAAAGTTAAACTTTACTCTGAATGTTCTTTTTTAGCAGGAACCCAACTTATTTAAAGATAGCTGATAATAGGGATAGGGGTGGGATGCAATGGTATTCTTCTTTGGCAACATCTGATTTGTTAGGCAGCAGTTTTGGAAATTAAAACATATTATATTAAAAATCCCCTAGCTTAGTATAAGTAATTTTTTTTTTCTTCTGGCTAAGCCTTTGTGAAGGATGAAAGCTGTAATCTGAGTCCTTGTTCTTCTCCATTCCCTGGGAAATTTAAATGTCCTTCTTGCCACTACTTGAGGTTTGTAGAAGAGGGTTGTGAGGCATATGTGAGCATTTCCTCTGCATATTTCCTGGAAATAAGAAATCTGGATACAGTGGAAGGGAAGAGGGTGGTAGAGAAGAGAGGGCTACTGTAAGATGTGTTAGCGGCCATTTAGGAGGTGGAGAAAAATAAGAAAAAAATAAGATAAACACATCTCAGGCAGAACCTGTAGGAGGAGGGGAGTGGCAGGCCACCAGCAGCAGCATAGCAATGGGAATGGGAATGTACTGGGCCCAACATAAGTTTTCTTCATAGATTTGTGCAAGTGGATTTTGTTGTTGGCTCATGGCTGCAAATGAGATCATTGAAGTAGAAAGCCAACAGGAAATAATAAGAGGAAAAATTAAGACAGTAGAACAGGAGAAAGGAAGAAGAGCAGATACTCACTCATTCAGCACATATTTGTGTGCTTGTTGCATGCTGGGCACTGTCCTGATCTAGGAGTATAAACATGAAGATACAGTCCCAGCTCTCACAGAGATTACAGAAACATACAGTGAACCTAAATGGTCTTAGTCTCACTGTTTTCCTGCCCATGAAGAAGTTAAGACTAAGTGACTTGTGCAAGTATTTGTACAACTTGTATTACCAAAGCCAGGTTTTCTAACTTGTGGATGGCATTATAGTTGCCTCCCTTTTGAAGGGCTGTAGGAGGAGGCGAGATGACTAGAATGAATAGAGAGGAGAGAGAGTGTCATAGCTCTGGAATGGAGGGCAGAGGCATGATCTCAGTGAGAGATTATGATGGAGACTTACTTCCCTGAGAGAGAAAAACAGTTGCCCAGGTTTAGCTATGTGGTAGAGATCTTAGCAGTCCATTGTGATAATCCATGCAACATACTTAATAGTATTTAAAATTCCTGGGAGAAAAGTATTTATGATTATAAAACCATAGTTTCAGTGAGGGCATAAGAGAAAACTCTCCACAACATAGTTAGGTTTAATCCAATGTTAGTATGGAGAAATCTACTGACATAGTAGGGTACATAAGTAAATTGCATGTCATTTTCTCAATAGAAAGAATGATAAAACTCATCATGTGTTCTTAAAAATAAAAAAAATGCTAAGGATACTTTATGAATGACAAAGAGCCAAAAAAAAAAAAGAAAGTACATGCTCAAAAGGAAAACACTGTCAGTGGCTTTCTCCTTTCCTGTCCCTTTTGATATAGAGGCCTGTAAAAGTAATATGTATTCATTCTATAGCAAATAGAAAATAAGAAAAATTTAAATGACTTAAATTATATTAACCACTGACATTTCATATATGGCTTTCTAGACTCTTTTGGTAATGTATCTATCTAGATGGAACTATATTCTACATGCTGTTTTCCCTACACTGTCACTCGATCCCCACTATCACTTCAGGTAGTATTAAGAGGCCACTCCCAACTATTTATGTTATGATCATTCCTGTTTGGTGTTGTTCTCTTACTTTCCTTCCCTCAGCTATTTTCTGCATATATCCGATCTCAGATGTTATGTATTGATTATATATTTTGATTCTCAAAATTCTGGGAGTGTCTTTCTGCCTGTAGTACCATTTGGCTTTCATGGCATGAGTGCTTTTGATGGCTGGAGTTAAAGTTCAGAACTGTTTTGGGTGTAATTTGTGAAATTGAACCCTAACAAGGGAACACTAGTTAATCACCTGGTGGGTGCTATCCATTTTGAGTATAGAAAATGTTTCTACTGCTTTAGGAAGCTACCGAAGACATGCTATAGGCATATGATGAAACCAAAACCAAACCCGTTGCAGTCAAGTCAATTCCATCTCATAGTGACGCTGTAGGACAAAGTAGAACTGCCCCATAGGGTTTCCAAGGAGCAACTGGTGGATTTGAACTGTTGACCTTTTGGTTAGAAGCTGCAGCCACTGCACTCCATAGGCATATGACAGGTCACTTTAAAGCACACTTGTATTCAAGAGCAGTGTTTCCAGCATTGAGAACTAGTATGAAGCACTTCTTTACCTTTTCTTAGCTTGGGAAAGGAATACTATGGTGCCCTGAGTACTGCATTGTAAGAAAAAGGCAGACAGAGAGGGAACCAACTCAGAATTGAGAATGAAAGGATAATACAGAGCAGTGCTGTCCAGTAGAACTTACTGTGATGTCCGGTGCAGTGACCACGAGCCACATGTGACTAGTACTACCATATTGGACAGAGCAGCTCTAGAAATAATGATGTCTGCTGAGATGGCTTTGGGAAAG